AGTGTTTGGGGACACAGCAGTTAACAGTGCTTGCTGCTCTCCAGAGTACAGAAATTTTGTTCCCAAGACTCAAGTCAGGCGGCTCACAACTGCATAGCTCCAGTTCCAGGGGATCCAACACTCTCTTCTGGCTTCAGACATACACTGAGACACATAGACATGCATGTGCAAGCGCGCACACACACATACACAAGTAAACATTTATGCACACGCGCGCACACACACACACACATACAAATAAATAAACATTTAGGAACTGAAAGGATGGTTCATTAGTTAAAAGGGTTTACTGCTTTTGCAAAGGACCGAGTTCCATTTCTAGCACCCCACATTGGCTTGTTCACAACCTCCTGTAATTTCAGCCCCAGGGGGAATCTGAGATCTCTAATCTCCAAAGGCACCTACACTGACTTGCACACACACAAGTGATTAAAAAGAAAACTTGCTAGGCAGTGATGACACACGCCTCTAATCCCAGCACTCAGGGAGACAGAGGCAGGTGAATCTCTGTGAGCTCGAGGCCAGCCTGGTCTACAGAGTGACTTCTAGAACAACCAGAGCTACACAGAGAAACCCTGTCTTGAAAAACCAAAAATAAATAAATAAAATAAATTTAAAAAGTAAGTAAATGTTTTCCAAAATCTTCAAAAGTAAGTCTTTAAACAAACAAACAAAAAACTTTCAGGGCTGCAGAGGTGGCTCAGTAGTAAAGACAACCTGCTCTTCTTTCAAAGGTCCTGAGTTCAATTCCCAGCAACCACATGGCGGCTCACAGCCATGTGGGTTCTGATGCCTTCTTGCACTTGGAAGGCTGAGACAAAAAGACCAAGAGTCCCAGAGCAGTCTCAGCTGTCGAGCAAGATTCTGTCTCAAAAAACAAGAGCTAGCAATGAAGGGGAACAAATGAGAATGAAGTCTAAGTGTGTGTGTGTGTGTGCAAGTGTGCACGCACACGCACGTGTGCAAATGCTATGATGAAAATCCCTGCCGGGCGATGGTGGCGCACGCCTTTAATCCCAGCACTTGGGAGGCAGAGGCAGGCGGATCTCTGTGAGTTCGAGACCAGCCTGGTCTACAAGAGCTAGTTCCAGGACAGGCTCCAAAACCAGAGAAACCCTGTCTCGAAAAGACAAAAAAAAAAAAGAAAAAGAAAATCCCATTGTTTTATGGAAAAAAAGAAAGGAAGGAAGGACAGACAAATGGAAAGAAAGGAATGAAAGAAAGAGAGAAAGAAGGAAGGAAAGAAGACGGGAGGGGATAAGGTGGCTCAGCAGAAGTCACCAAGCACAACTACCGGAGTCTGATCCTGGGACCCACATGCCGGAAGGAGGAGACTACCCAAAGTTTTCTCTGACCGCCACATGTGTCCACTGCATGGCTGAGGCCCCCAACACACCAATACATAAATAAATAAAACTTAATTCAACAATTTTTAAAGGGTTAAAGAAATGACTGAGTGCTAAGGAACACATACCAGTCTTACAAAGGGTTTAGCACCCACATCAGGTGACCATCATTGTATCTCCAGTCCTGGAATCCATGGGCACTGCACTTAAATGTGCGAGTCTGTCATTTAAAGGTAGTGCACGTCTATCACCATGCACAAACTCAAGTCCAAATGGATTAAAGACCTCAATATCAGTCCGAACACACTGAACCTGATAGAAGAGAAAGTGGGAAGTACTCTACAACAGATGGGCACAGGAGACCACTTCCTACGTATAACCCCAGCAGCACAGACAGTAAGGGCCTCATTGAATAAATGGGACCTCCTGAGACTGAGAAGCTTCTGTAAAGCAAAGGACACTGTCACTAAGACAGAAAGGCAACCCACTGACTGGGAGAAGATCTTCACCAACCCCGCAACTGACAAAGGTCTGATCTCCAAAATATATAAAGAACTCAAGAAACTAGACTGTAAAAGGCTAATCAACCCAATTATAAAATGGGGGACTGAGCTGAACAGAGAATTCTCAACAGAAGAAGTTCAAATGGCCAAAAGACACCTAAGGTCATGCTCAACTTCCTTAGCGATCAGGGAAATGCAAATCAAGACAACTTTAAGATACCATCTTTCACCTGTCAGAATGGCTAAAATCAAAAACACCATTGATAGCCTTTGCTGGAGAGGCTGTGGAGAAAGGGGTACACTCATCCATTGCTGGTGGGAATGCAAACTTGTGCAACCACTTTGGAAAGCAGTGTGGAGGTTTCTCAGGAAATTCAAGATCAACCTACCCCTCGACCCAGCAATACCACTCTTGGGAATATACCCAAGAGATACCCTATCATACAACAAAAATATATGCTCAACTATGTTCATAGCAGCATTGTTTGTATTAGCCAGAACCTGGAAACAACTTAGATGCCCATCAACGGAAGAATGGATGAAGAAAGTATGGAATATATACATATTAGAGTACTACTCAGCAGTAAAAAACAAGGACTTCTTGAATTTTGCATGCAAATGGATGGAAATAGAAAACACTATCCTGAGTGAGGTAAGCCAGACCCAAAAAGAGGAACATGGGATGTACTCACTCATATTTGGTTTCTAGCCATAAATAAAGGACATTGAGCCTATAATTCGCAAGCCTAGAGAAGCTAAATAAGAAGGTGAACCCAAAGAAAAACATATAGGCATCCTCCTGAATATTAACTTTCATCAGGCGATGAAAGGAGACAGAGACAGAGACCCACATTAGAGCACCGGACAGAAATCTCAAGGTCCAAATCAGGAGCAGAAGGAGAGAAAGCATGAGCAAGGAACTCAGGACCGCGAGGGGTGCACCCACACACTGAGACAATGGGGATGTTCTATTGCGAACTCACCAAGACCAGCTGGCCTGGCTATGAAAAAGCCTGGGATAAAACCAACTCGCTGAATATAGCGGACAATGAGGACTACTGAGAACTCAAGAACAATGGCAATGGGTTTTTGATCCTACTGCACGTACTGGCTTTGTGGGAGCCTAGGCAGTTTGGATGCTCACCTTACTAGACCTGGATGGAGGTGGGTGGTCCTTGGACTTCCCACAGGGCAGGGAACCCTGATTGCTCTTTGGGCTGACGAGGGAGGAGGAGTTGGTTGGGGGAGGGGGAGGGAAAGGGGAGGCGGCGGTGGGGAAGAGACAGAAATTTTTAATAAAAAATAAAATAAAATAAAATAAAATAAAATAATAAAAGCAAAAAAAATAAATAAAGGTAGTGCACGCCTTTAATCCCACCACTCTGAGGCAGAGGCAAGTGGATCTCTGAGTTTGAGACTGGTCTGGTTTACATAGTATCAAGCTACATAGTGAGATCTTATATAAATTAAATTAAGCAAATAAAAAGATAACCAAGCTGGGCATCATAGTAGACTCCTATAATCCCAACACTTGGGAAGTAGAAGTAGGGGGACCAAAAGTTCAAGCTCAACCTGGGCTACAATGGGACTTCAAGAATAGCCTGGGCTACTTAAGACCATCTTAAAAACAACCACACTAAAACAAAATGCAAAGCTCAGGCCAAGTGTGATGGCACACGGAGGATATCTCTCTCTCTCTCTCTCTCTCTCTCTCTCTCTCTCTCTCTCTCTCCCTCTCTCTCACTCACACACACACACACACACACACTCTCTCTCTCTCTCTCTCTCTCTCTCTCTCTCTCACACACACACACACACACACACATGCACACACACAACACACACACACACACACCAAAAAGTAACCAGTGAGAACTGGTTCCAAATTGCTTTATGAATTAAAACAACTTTCCACAGATGCCATGGGACTTTTGTTCATTTGTTTTTTTTCTAGGGGTTTATGAGGAGGGGTGAGTTCACAGAACCCAGTTTCCTCAGACCTTACAGTGTAACCCAGGCTACACATAAGCTAACAATTCTTTTGCCTCAACCTACCAAGGGCTGAGATTACAGGCATTCCGCCTGTTCAAATGTTTTCAAAAGGAAAATTTTAGTGTAGCTAGCATCAAATTAAAACTCACCCCAAATTCAAATTGAAAATATTCATTTATCCCAGCGTCTACAGCAAATTAGGTGACTTTCAGGGTTTGATAAGGCCAGAAAATATTGCTCAGAGAAATTTTAAATTTTGTTCTATATTTTTGTGGTTGTTGTTTTTTGAGGGTTTTTTTCCCCCCAAAGCTGGCCTGAAGTGGTGAACCTTCAGCCTCCTCCTCCCAAGTGCTGGAACTAGAGGCATGTGGCTACCACACCCAGCTAAGTTATTTTAAAGGACGCCGGCCATCTGTCTAGGTTTCTACAGGGGCAGAGAAACGCACACTAGGCGGCCAGGTGACTTGGAGCCTCTAATGGGAACAGCGATCCAAAGCTGCCGGCCTGTCAGCGCTGCTGGGTGAGTCCAGCTGGCGCAGGAAGCACCAAAAATAAGCTACAAAGCATTCTGGAGCCGTGCTTATGGTTTGGATTCCCAAACACACTTTGTGTTTATCCCTCACCAAGGAGGGGTATTTTTACGTATCTGTGTGTAAAGCGAGACTAAAGGAGAACAGTGGAGGCAAAGGAATGTAAGTTGTGGGCCTGAAGCTTAAAAACAGATTTAAAGTAAAACACTAGGAACGCCTCTGTCTTGCAAAAGAAGGCAAACCGCCATTCAGAGGCAATAAAGCCGCGCACCCAGGTACTCCCCACTCTCCCGAGCTTCACCTGGGGGCCGGTGGGCAGCAGCCCGGCTCGCCCGAGGGAAACTGAGAGGGGCGGGGAGAGAGGGACAGACACACCTCGCCGGGCGAGGCTGGCGGCCACCTCACTCGTCCAGCTGAGGGACCCGACCCAGGGGACCGAAGGGAGACTCACTTCTCCGGCTCTCCAGCCCATGGGCGACGGGTTTGGTCCCCAGCTCCCCCGCGTCCACCTCTGTGATCCCTCCACAGATCCACGATCGGTGGATCGTCCGGGCTCCCCAGATCCCACACCTTCGTCCTTCCCGGCCCCCACGCTGCATTCCTTTCGGTCACAGATCGGAACCCGTTACCTGCAGAGCGGCTCGACAATCCTGCAGGTAGTCCTCCATGGCGAAGCCCGAGGTGTGCCGTCCCCCCCTCGGCTGGGAGAGGTAACCCGGCCGAATGCACCCCGCCCCAGACTCAGGGTCTAGAGCCGAGAGTCAGGGGGCGGGACTCGAACCCGCCACACAAGGGTTCGGCCTCCGAACCCCAGGAGGAAGTGCGTAATCCGGCACTCCGGCGTTACCCCGCCCCCAGAGGCGGAGGCTGAGTTCTGAGCCCAGAGACTCATGGGAGGTCAAGGAGGAGCATGTCGCAGTTCCTCCTGGGAAATGTAGTCCGGAAGCTCCTAAGTGTTTTTCCCCCAAGCGAGCAGTTTTCTGAGCGCTATGACATACAAGTTGTGTATGTGTCACAATAACTCGCCTTTATGGCATCTGAACTTGCTCTTCCAGATAGGACTAGGTATAGTATCTTTTCATATATTACATCGAGCATCTGTTTGAGATTAATGTGAATTAATCTCTCAAAAAAAATTTTTTTAAATACAAAGTCTTGCTATGTAGCCCAAGTTAGTCTTTGGTGAATGCTGGATTCACAAACCTGGCTTGGGCGGGACTTTAAATTACAACAACATATGTCTATATCTTATTAAAAGAGCTTCCCATATTGTGTTTTATTTTAAATCTTCCCTTTACCAAACTGACCTAGTGTGACCAGTGATGTGTTTGTTCATGCTAGGGAAACATTAGCATAATTTTGGACCTGTCGTCTTAAAATCTACAGTCGCGCCAACTCTTCCTAACGTCCTAACTCTGCAGCCTCTTTCCCCTTACAGTCTGGACAAATATCTCATGTCATTCTTGGACTGATGCAACCGTGACTTTGCTTCCTGGGTCCCTGTTGCAACTGTTCTCTCTTTCAGAGTTGCTTGAAGTCTTATTCTGGCAGCCACGTCAATAGAGGAGCCTTCAGAATGTGAGGCTAGGTTCCAGCCTCCTCCTTAACTGCCACTTTCGTGCCCCAGCGCAGACTGGGGGGGGGGGGGGTCCCTTTGTCATAACTTGTCAAGCAGTTTTATTTCTAGCCTTTTAGGGAACTTACAGGGAGAAAAGGAAGACTTGGAAAGGAGCCCTCTGGGGGGGGGGGGTCCCGCAAAACAGAAGCGGGGTCTTTTCTTTCACACCAAAGGAGTAAATGTGCAAACACGATGCTCTTTCGCCCTGCTTCCGCGGCTCCAGGGCAGAGGACGGCCGCCGGCATCCAGGGAGGGCCCAGCAACTGCTGCCGTCCCGCCCCGCTCCTCCCGGCTCAGCCAGGCTGCTCGCTTGCTTTTCCCGGTTCTCACCAGAGAGGCACACGCGCTCCGTCCCTTCCCGCGGCCGCGGAGGGAAGAGAAAGGGTCTGTTGTTTTTCTCTCTTCCTTTCCGCTGCTCACCGGCTGGCTGCACACCGGCTCCGACAGCCCTGACGGGAATCCCACGCGCCTGAGCAGGCCCCTCCTCCAGAGACCTCGTCCTCGGCTAATTTGTCTTTGTCCCGACCGAGGGAAAGAAGAAGAAGAAAAACCACAAACTTCCTTTGCAAACCAGTTTGCGGCCAGGGCCTGGAGCGCACGCCGGAGACTCAATCGCTCGGGAATCCTGAAGACGCCGGAGGCCCCGGGAGCGCCGGGCTGCCCCCAGCCCGTCCCCCGCCTGCCCTCGCCCCCCACCCTCCTCCGGCGTGCCCGGGGCTGGCCGTGAGTCCGGAAGTGGCCACGACCCAGGCTGGACGTCGCGCGAGTAAAGCCGTGTCGAGCCGTGGGAGCTCCGGGACTGACAGCTGGGAGGCAGCTGGCGCTGGCGGCGCCCCTCGACGATGTCCCCTCCTCCCGCGTCGGGCCGCCAGAATTGAGTCCTCTCCCACTCCCGGAAACGCATCCACCCCTTTAAGGTAAAAACTTTGTTTTCAAACTGTCTTCTTCGCCCCTTCTCGCAGCTCTCCTTTCCCTCTCCGACTGGGGGGGAGTTGACACCTGATGTCCCGTCTGTGGTCTCTACACCTGGGTCGCTTATGGGATTCTTCTTGCTAGGCACGGGGAGCAGTGAAAGCGATGGGGGTCCCTTCGTTTCCCCATTATAAACAAACCTCCCCCCTCTTTGGGAGCAAGAATTGCAATGTTTGACTTATTCTAGAGGAATCTCAAGGCACTGTGGCCGTGAAGGTTTGCCTTCAGCTGAGGAAGAGATTGGGTAAGACTAGAAAAGGAGAGAGAAGGGTCCTGAGAGAGGGTAATGTCTTCTTGAAGCTAAAGACATACCTATTTAATATGCTTCTTCCACTGTGTAATAGTATCTGCTGCTGACTAAGAAGGGATCGGGTGTTTTAACTCCCTCACCTGCCCCCATAGGTAGGTCTACTTAGAAGGTGTAGGATTTGGGCAGAAGAAAGAAAAGGCTGAAACCCCAGTTTGTCTGAGTACCCTCCCCTCGGACTTTCCTGCCTCTGGGCTTTGCAAAGTGCGGTTCCTGCCCTGCCCCTGCCGGCTGTCCCTGAGACCCCACTCTCCAGTGGTTTCTCGTAGCTCCTCTCTTTGGTCGGCTAGCTTTCCCACCCTCCACTTAACTATTGATCATTTCTAACCTTGGGCAGAAAATGAGCCACGCTTTTCCTTTGGCTTTTTAAATTTCCCAGGCGTGGCCTCTGTTTCAGGGTTCACCCTAAGTGCCATGGGAGGGGAAGAGATATGGCGAGAGAGGGCGAAAAAAGTGTAAAGCCTGCAGATTAATTTTGCTAGCGTGGTTCTAAATTAACAAAATATAAATCGCCTGCAGCTATCACAAATTATATTTCAATAAGGAGAATGATCTCTTGAGTTATTTTCAGTAACTTTGACGTTTCTCTGTAGCTCAGGCAGACCTTTAACTAGAGATCCTCCTGCCCTGATCCCCTGCTATTCAGCAGGGATTGGCAAACCTGAGACACCACAAGATAATGCCACTCCTGTCCGCCAGGCCTTCTCCCAGCCCCCAAGTCCTGAAGGTTTAGAAGAAGAGAACAGGCGATGAAGAAGCTGAACAGAGAGCAAGAGTTCCAGGCAGGCATGTCATAAACCACTTAAAATCCCTTCACCTGGGAAACTGAGGCAAGATTACCAAAAGCTTGAGGCTAGCCTGGACAAACCAGTGCTCTGCTTGTCTCTGCCCCTCCCCCCAAATCCTGGGATTAAAGGTGTGTGCAATTTCTTTTAAAATCATTTAAAAGAAAAAAAAGGCAAGATTTAATTTAATTAATTTGATTTAAATTAATTAATCCCTGCTTTTGTCTTCCTTTCTTTCGATGCTGGTGATGGAACCCAGCACTGTGCATGCGTTAAGCACGTGACCACTCGCCACATTTTTCGTTCTCACTACTGAGTAGGTAGGGGCATAAGGACATGAAGGGAGACTCTGGGGAGGAAGGAATTGTGATCGTCACTATCTGTAGTCCTATCTGTCTGTTACTTGATGTCTAATGCTGATAGACAGCAAGTTGAACAGGTCTAGTGTTCACCTAGAAAACCATCTTGATGGGAGCCATGAAGAGAATGCTTGCCGGTGGATGTGAGCCTGGAGCCGGGGTGTTGTGTGCCAGGCAAGGCTCCATCGCTGAGCTATACCCCCAGCTCTTTATTTTAAGATAGGATCTCACAAAGATCCTCCTACCTCAGCCCCCTTTAGTAACTAAAATTAAAGGCTTTTGTTACTACACACAAGTAGTGGGGGGGGTCATATATATTATAAACATATATATACAATATGAGCATATATAATATATATTGTATGTGAGCATTTTTTAAAGATTTATTTATTTATTATGTATACAACATTCTGCCTCGATGTATGCCCGTACTCCAGAGGAGGGCACCAGATCTCAGTACAGATGGTTGTGAGCCACCATGTGGTTGCTGGGAATTGAACCCAGGACCTCTGGAAGAGCAGCCAATGCTCCCAACCTCTGAGCCATCTCTCCAGCCCTGTGAGCATTTTTTTAATTTTTTAAATATTTATTTATTTATTTAGCCTGCGTGCCTGCACACACACCAGAAGAGGGCACCAGATCTCAGTACAGATGGTTGTGAGCCACCATGTGGTTGCTGGGAACTGAACTCAGGACCTCTGGAAGAGCAGCCAGGGCTCTTACCCTCTCTCCATTTCTCCAGCCCAGAGCATTTTTTATATCTATGCGTGCTTTCTGTAGGAGTACTTTCTCGCTGGGAATCATGACATGGAGACTTATTAATTACAAAAGCTCGGCCTTAGCGGAGGCATAGTCTACCTAGTTCTTATAACTTAAATTAACCCATATTTTTAAATCTGCATTCTCCCATGAGGCTCGTCACCTCATGTCCATACTGCCCATTCTGCTGCTTCTGCATCTGGCTGGCGACTCTGCCTTTCTTCTTCCCAGAATCCTCTCTCTGCCTGGAAGTCCCGCCTATACTCTCCTGTCGAGCTATTGGCCATTCAGCTCTTTATTACACCAATCACAACAGTACATTTTCACAGAGTTATAAATATCCCACAACAATTTTCCTTTATGGAAGTCCACCACATTTTTTTTTATGTATACAATATTCTCAGTATTCTGTCTGCATGTATGCCTGCAGGCCAGAAGAGGGCACCAGACCTCATTACAGATGGTTGTGAGCCACCATGTGGTTGCTGGGAATTGAACTCAGGACCTTTGGAAGAGCAGGCAATGCTCTTAACCTCTGAGCCATCTCTCCAGCACATGTTCTTGATGGCCACAGAAGCCAGAAGAGGATATCAGATTCCCTGCTACTTAGGTTCCAGATCCTTGTAAACCCCTCTGTGGGTGCTGAGAATTGAACCTTGGTCCTCTAGAAGAGTGGTATATGCCTTTAACCACTGATCCACCTCTCCACCCCTGGAGTATTTTAAATGTAAATCATTAACAGAGGTTTCCTATTCCATGTAAACAGTGAGCAAGAGACTATCTCTGGTGCCGGCTCTGCTGGAAACAAACAGAAACTGAGGAGTTGTGATGTCAACTCCAGACGGGGAGAGCAATCTATCGGAGGGACTTGTGGGGAGCACTTTCTGTGCCCCCATCCTTGGTTGTTATTGGTGGTATGATCAGAGCCTGTGCCTTGGGCAGCCCTAATAAGCCAGGTTTGGCCTCTTGTCCCCA